TAATTTCTTTTACACATCTGGCCAATACAATAAACAATTTTTATAAGTTGCCTTTATACACATATATAAAAGTCATAAATAAATAAAATAGATAAATAGATATATTAAATTTTTAAAATAATTACAAGAAATTCTAACCGTCAATCAATATATTAATGCAAAAATGTTTCTTAATAACACGATGGATGTTTTTCTGTTTTTTGAATCAAATGACAAGCAAATTAAAAAAGTAATTTTTAATATAAATGTACGAAACATTTTAGAGATAACGAAAAGTATTCAAGAACAAAAGTCCATAAAACAATACAAAATGACAGTCGGCAACATCGACCTGCAAAACAACAGAGGTGTCAGGTGCCTTGAAGGAGTTGACCTCTCGTGTGTTGTTGTCAACATCGGGAAAAAGACGGAAAAATCCGTTGTTCGACAATAAAATTTGGATTAAAACTTGTAGAATTAAATACAAATTACTGTGAAATCACAAATTTTTGTGATGGGTTAATTTTCGTTGTTTTCGAGGTATGAACTTGACCCACTAATATTTAACCTATGTAAAATACATATAAAACAAACAATATTTTGATGCATGAATTGATATATATTTTTTGAACAGAAATAACATAAAAATTGTTCCGGAAATATGTGATATACAGAAATCTTAAAATACAATTTATATAATGAGCCTTACAAATGAAGACAATTTGTCTTTTTTATGCAATTCCATACAAAATTTTGCGCACATTTTCAACATTGAGTCACAATTTTATAAGATTCTGCCACTTTGCCTTGCAAACATTACTCATGTCACCTATCTGAATATAGATCTATGAAAAAAAATTGCTGATTTCTACATAGAAAAAAGATTATTTGTGTTTTTATACACATATAGAAAAGTGAATAAGTCATAAATAAATAAAATAGATAAATAGATAGATTAAACTTTTAAAATGAAGCAGATCTCATGTTCTTTCAATCAATATACCAGAAAAATTTTCGAATAACCATGGATGTTTTTCTTAAATGTGACAAGGAGTTCACGGCGTGCGGACCGGTCAGCAGGGGATGTTCACTCCTCCTTGATACCTGATCCCACCTCTGATATTTTGGAAGTCCATAATTGCTCTGCTCCTATTTCGTATTGCTTTATGGACTTTTGATTTTGAATACTGTTCGTTATTTCCATATGTTTCATCAAATAACTAAAAAGGTTAAGTCGTTCTCCAACAGTTCGATTCTTCGTAATATACACGGAGGATTTAGTTTAATATGTAGATACGACTGGTTTAGGTTATTTTATTTGAATCCTTTTGTAATAGACTTATTTCCAAAAATAATCCACCCGTAGACCTAAATGATCAATTCCATAAGACTTGTATTCACTTTTGACCAATCTAATCACCACTAAAACTGGAAATCTTACCCCAAGTGATATTACTCTTGCAGTTTGGAACACTTAATATAGAAATTCTTGATTTTTTTTTTATCCCAATGCAGGATGTTTGTCTGTCACATGCTCTATACATAATAAATTTTTCCCTTAACCGATTCCAAATCATATCCAGAAAATGCGATTTCACAAAATTGGTATATCACTGAATGTTCTATATTCTCATGCAAACAGGTTTTCTCTGTTTTTTTTTTTTTTTTTTTTCTGGTTTTTTGTTTTTTTTTTTTTTTTTTTTTTTTTTGTTTTTTTTTTTGTTTGTTCCTATTTTTTGGGGTTTTTTTTTCCAAATTTCAAATAACAAGCCCCAGATGGAAGGCAAATTCCATTTGTTTTTTTTTTAAATCTTAATAAATATTATATGAATGAAATAAGTAAGAGTACCTTCAACAATTTTAAACTGAAGCTAACAATTTTCAAACGTTATGAAGGACGAGGGAAGGAAATTCTGAAAAGAGAATCATGTGTTTTGAAAGGAATCAATTACTTTATATCAGCTGAAATGATTGACTGAATACGGTGTTTGACCTTGATGTGTACAAATTCTGATAGATCGAACAATCATTAATGCACCTTTCAGGTGTGTGTTCCTAATCAGTTGATGAAAGAGTTCCTTCCGCATTAGGATGTTCTATCTTTGTTCTACCTTTTTTATTTCTTCTACGGAAACTTAATCTGACAATGGGTGTTGTATTTTATATCTTCCTACTAAATTTTGAATTGATTTTACGCCGAGAAATATCAACATGATAACGTTAACCTCATCTCTTCTTAAATGATTATCAAATCGGTTCAAGAAAATATTCGATAATATTTCAAACAAAAAAATTAATATTTGCTTTTAAAATTAAGAACAAACAAAACTTTCATGACAAGGCGCATACTGGTTATATTTTTTTTAAAAAGCTGTATGATGATGATTATGTGTTCATGATTTGTAAATCGTAAGCTATCAGGATTGTCCTATTAAAATGGAATTTAAAAAATGGATTAAATATTACTATGCACCATTTGTCTTAAGATTAATATTCTGAAGCTAAAAATGAAACCGTTTTCTCGTGTAGGTGGTTATTTTAAACGTCAAGTTCCTCTCCTGTCAGGACTCTATGACATAATATTATGACAGAGTCAGCTCAACTCCAATCTGTACCTACAGCTGGTGTGAATGTACCTGAAGCCATACACAGCATTTACTATTGTCAATATACGACAATTCAATGTAAATATTTACTGTTATTAATTTTGTGAACTTTAGAAAATAATGCAGCACTGACCGATAACTGAACTGACTGATTCGGTTCAATCAACTTGATACGATAAGTATATATATATAGTCTCGGGTACATATCATTTTTTAAGTGTCATCAATTTTTTTTTTGTAATGCAATATTTCTTCATCATCTTAATTAATAATGAAATGTTTCTTTTATATGTTTGAATACCCTAGTCAACTATTCGCCTGAATTAGGACTATTTTGCATTGCATTTGGAAAATATTGACTTAAAACGGGGCTTTTATATCTTTGTATCCATCGTTTATTTGTCAATAGCAGTGATAATACCTCAGAATTTATAAACATTGTGTTCGTTTATATGAAAAGGCACATTTATAGAATTGTTTGTCAGAATACCTTTCCATTTAGCAGTTTTCCGAATCCTTTCATTTTTTTCTTTTTAAAGTTTTGAAATAAGCTACGAGAAGATGAAAACGCAATGACTTATAAATTTTCCGGCTAAAATATGTTGCTATACTTAAATTTCAGCGATCATTATCAATATTTATCCTTGAATCCATTAAAGTTGCGCTGTTTAGATAGTGTTGTTTCCTTTCCCCTTAGATTTTCTGTCCAGTAATAAGTATACTTAATGAAATTTATTATGCTTGTGTTTTCCCCGCTTTTTGTTGATATATTTACACGATACTTTAATTGTACGCAATATTTTGAAAAGTAAGAACCCACATATCTCTCTCTCCCTCTCCCTCCCTCGTTTCTCTCTTCTATTTCTTAATATACTTTCACAAGATAAAAATAACTAGAATGCGAAAATCCTAATTTGATCTTACCAAAAAAAAAATTATTGATTGATCATCAAACCTAAAAACGATGCTTCAAGTTCTTACATGGCAACTAGATTTTTTTTTATTTTTCTTTAAAACAGAATAAATCTCCTTTGTATTTTTAGAATATGACTTGGCTTATTATTTTAACAGAAAAAAATATAATTTATGTATCCAGTAGATAAGCCAAAGATAAAAATCAGATTATTCCAAGGAATTATTCATACGTGTCGATAAGTATGTGCTGTTGCCATATTAAAACAATTAAAAAAAATATGTAGCATACTTTATTCTAATGATTATAAAAATAACAAATGTTAAAGCAATATGAGCTGCATTGGTAAAAATTTTGTTTTGCTGTTAAAAAGTGATATTATGATAAATTTGTATGTAACTTAAACCTTTATGACCAATTAGACTAAAATTAAGCATGAGAAAGATTTTTATATACAGTCCAATATACAGTTTTATATAAGAAATTATTATTGTACAGGACGACAATAATGTAATTTTGATTCATTCGAAGCTTATAAATAGTTCTTCCATCGCAAATATGAACAACAATAATTTATAATGTTATTTTTTTCTGTCATTGAAATAGTTATTTACAATTTTGCAACAAAAAATTCTGACATCAAAGATGCAGCTCATATTGCTTGAACACTATAAGCAGGAATTAGTCACATTGTAACATGTTTTATCATAAAATAAGATAAAAGATGATCATTTGAATCTAAGTTTAAGTTTGAAAAAAAGCAGTCCCATTTTTCTTTTAGGAGGAAATTCTTCAAAATTAGTTTTGTCATCAGAATTAAATGGAAATTAAAAGTTTCTCATACAACTCGTAAATATGCAATAACCTATCAAAGACTTTATTTACGTTATTCTAAATTACTGTACATTAAAACTTAACCACTTTGCTGTGTACTGGTCACAAAAAACCACAGCGTCAGTCTTTGGTGATTTAGATCTATTGTTTGAATGTTTAGTTTACACCTGGATTGAGGAAGTATTCCTCGCAATAAATAAACATTATTATTAATTTGATTAATCATAACTTTGACTATAAATTCATTATTGGTAAATTTGGTATATAATTGATATCTATGACCAATAATTTCCCCAAAAATATTGAATCGTGAATGATCTTAGGATTTTTCCGGGAGTGATTACATCTATACAAAATTTGTGCATAAAATCAATTAAAATGCTATTGTATTGTAAATAGAACCAAATCGGTCAAAATTGGAAAGTACATGTATAATGAATATAAAGCTCCTTAGATAGTTATCTGACCTTTGAAATGTAATTTACTGAATGGGGGAATTATCAGTGTGACGTATAGTGATCGTGTCAAATTACCCTGAGATGTGGGAGACTACGTCGGTATAGGTAAATTTTCCTTTGTTCCCCACTTTCCAATTAGTGACATGCGCAACGCAGTCACTAAATGACCTCATTTGTAGCATATGTCCCATATATATATCGTCACGGTTGCTGAAATGATCATTTCTGATTTCACGCTACGACACGTTCTTTGAAAAACAAAGACACTGAAAATGCTTCTTTGTCGACAATTTTCTATTATTGCAAGTTTTATTTTTATCTCAGTGTGTCAAAGTTTTAAACTTGACATCAACTCTGAATTCGGAAAAAATTGTGAAACAAACGAGTTAGGAGATAGGAATTGTACTTTTGTCGTGCCAAATAAATGGAGCCTTCTGAAGTTTAGAAAATGGCTTGACAACCTAACTGGAAATGTCAGGAATGTCAATCTTGATCTCACCTGCATTGATGGTGGAATTGTCTTCTTGCCATGGCCTTTCAGAGCCAGGAATCTTCGAAAAATTCACGTGAAAAATTGTTTAATTGATGGCTACTACTCTGAGTACAATATTAATTCAAAATATCCTAACACCGTAAAAGACATGGCTCTCATAGACGTAGCAATCCTAACTGACATCAACCAGTTAATTGAAATAAATCTCAGTGACCCATTGGTGAAATCAAGCACATGTGGACAGGAAACCAACGCTTGGCTTATCCAAAGGAACGTCTCATTTTCATTTGTTCCGACGAAATCAACTCCTTCTTTTAAACTTCTTCAAGAGGGATTCGATTCATTAGCGGAAAAATCTAAATCCCAGCCCTTCACCTGTAACTTTGAAGATCTGCTTTATCTTGAGCATACTGGAAGTAAGAGTATTTCGAAGATTCATTTTGACACAATGACCGACCATTCCGTTTATCCGAGGCTCAAAGTTTTCAACTTTTCCTCAAATTATCTTTTTAGTATCCCCATGCAACTATCAAAATGGTGGAATTATTTTCCTGCTTTGCGATGGCTCGATCTCTCCAACAACGAAATCCAATCCTTTTCCTTTGAGCACCCGGATGTTAATCAGGAATCTTTGTACATTAGTTTAGCAAATAACAACATAACAAGTGTTCCAGCGGACTTACCATCTTATTTAAGTGGGAAAACTTCAGTTTTGATTAATCTTCTAGGTAATCCAATTCACTGCGATTGCCGTGCCATTGCACTAAAGCAGTATCTGAAATTACTTCGTCGAAGGGCTCCTCAGTTCAAAAGTTTGTCCAATGTGATGTGTCATTCTCCAAGTAAACTTGCAGGAAGAAAGGTACGCACTATCAACAAAGTGTGCTGAGTGAATTGTGACTAGAATGTTCAAACTTCTAATTATCCATCATGTAAATCCATTTAAAATCCAGGTGGGCTACACCACCATTTTATATTTTATGTTTTTTTTTATTACGTATACATTTTTGGTTTGTAAATTTTATCAAATCAATAAATATATAACCAACTTATATTTTTATTTTCGATTGTAGACGAACCAATACCTTTGAACTTTAAACTTGCAAGTAACTACCCAAACATATTGGGGATAAAATAAAAAAAATAATGCATATTTTTTTAAAGTTAAAAACGATAATTGTAAAGTAAGTTAATGAATCAAACGTTTCTAAACTTTTATTGATATGCTAAAGGTTTTCCTTAAGAACATAAATTTATGCATTTATGATAGGAAATTAAATAAGAATATGCAAATTTGTATAGATTATGGCTTAAGGAAAATCATACTTGTGTTTCATAAAAACAAAATAACTGTCTGTTTTGGTTTTTCAAAATTTGCACTTATTGTCTTTAAAAAAGAATTGAATGCCATAATCTTTGTAGTGTCAATTGAATGTGGAAACTGTCAATCACTTTTTATTCCTGAATCTAATATAATAGGAAACCCAAAGATTAATGTCATGAGCTAAAAAATTAGAGAAATATTGTAATAAGGTTCATCGTCCTTAGCGTCACTGCAAACCCAATTCTGATTTAAAAACCACACAACACTAATTTGGATTGAACCACTTGTGCAAATGCAAATTGAGTCTACATTCAGTTTCACATTTTAAACAAAAAAATTTAACATCTGTCGTTTATTGATGTTTAAATGATATTTGGCTAAATCGGTAAATTCAGCCTTCTAAATGTATACTCTTCACCTTGCCGTTAATTCATCAAAGCAAAAAAAAAAAAGAATAGAAAAAAAAGAATAGAAAAAAAAAGAAAAAGAAAAAGAAAGAAAGAAAAAAAAAACAGATAGGCTTGATATTCCAAAATAAAGCCTTGTTCACCGTATAAAATCTTAAACGAGATGTCATACATTACGCAAAGGATGCATAAATCACTTTTAACATGAAGGGATGTGCTTCAGAAGCGTTGTATATAAAAGGAAGCTATGTATCTTAAAAATTCTTGAAATCTTAAAAAAATTGTGGAACTGGTTTTCCTCTAAGGTATATTTATTGTATGGTTCATTTTAACTGTATGTGACTAATACTTCAGAAATTTGTTGAAGCAGATATTTTTTTTTTCTTGAAATCCTCCTCTCTGCGATCCATCTTTCGCTACTTTATCAAAAGAACAGTATCGTAATGAGGAACATTTTAGATCTAAGCCTGTAGATACTTAACTAAAAAATTGATGTTGCATTTGATGTTCTTTAGCTACTGAAAAAATCTCATATATCATATAACATTTAATAAGTTTTTATGCAATAAAGTTTGATATTTAATTTCAATATGTTCTCGATAATAGATACGGAATATGAACCCAAGGGTACCCCCAGAAGCTTAATTTCATTCTCCATGCCAAAGCATTCACTCTTTTTGTATAAATTAATCACTAATCAACCTCAAAAGAGCATTAAAAAAATAAATGGACTGCAAACTCGGACCTCTAAAATTATAAGAGGTAGGATTATGTGCAACGGAGGTTTGAGCAATCCCTGTCGACTGGTCCAACTCCCCCCAACACCTGTGCTCCCTGTCTTGATCAGGAAAACAGAAAAATCCGTAAGTATTAAATATTTCGTGGTGTCAATAATGACCTTACCATTGGTATGAAAAACGTCAGTTTGTATTTAATTTAATGATAGATTGTATTTGTTGACAAGGTCATTGTATTACGATCGTCCTTATAACTTGCAAAATGATGTCTTTGAACGAGAAGTTATGACTTCCTTGTTGCAACAACTTGTTTGTCAATTGCTTGTCTTTTTTTTTTTTTTAGATATTGTTCGTACATAAATCATGCTTGTGCGTACCGACAAAACGTTGAACTCATAATGTTTAACAGTAAGTTGTTTTTTAATATACCATTAGTTTTTTCTATTAAAATATCCAGATATAAACCAGAAGGGTTAAATTCTGTTGCATTTCGTTTTTTTAATTTCAATTTCACTGAGATATAATTCGACATATGAATGGAAGAAACTATTGTTAATTGATCATATTTCTTCGAAGTATCAGAAAGTCAAACTGAAGGCCACGCCAATTGATATCTTCTTTTTATGTATATGTTTCTAATAAATGAGTCTTCATATAAGTACAAAAAAAGTTTTTCTCACAACGGATTGCAATTGATACCAACTGAAATTCCGACAGAGTGCTGGAAGACCTGCTCTGCAGAAATTGCGTATATATTGCCAATCGGAGCATACTTTCAAAATCAATTTCAAGTATTAGTGTGTGCAGCCAGAATATGATTTTAAAAAATAATTCTGCAAATGAGTAATGAACTTAGGTGTGTTGATTTTTTTATGCAAAAGAACTTCCTTTACAACCAAAGATTTCCCTCCTTTGTTATTTTTTCATATATTAAGCAGTTTTTAGTTTGAATTAATTTTTTAGCTATATATATTTTCAAAATTATCTAATTTCTTCTATTAATTCATGTAAATCATTGTTAAGATCAACAGTAAAAACCATTTTGAATAAAACTCTTTAAAAATCTTGTGCATAAATCCTAATAAAGTTTTTTATCGACGGCTGTGGATTTGGTAATAGAAATATGTTCGTTTTCAGATGAGCTAAGGTCATAATAATGTACTATACTTGTTAATCTATTTGTACTTTTTGAACTAGCCTGACACATTCCATTATTGTGAATTACATGTTCGCAATTGGAAAAACAATGTAAAATAATATATGTAGGTCCACGGCCTGTCAGTATTGACCTACTTACTGTTTAACAAAAACAAATACAATGTCATGCGCGCGGAAAACATATTCAATGAATGGAATATAAACTGTAATACATTTTGCTGATATAAACAAATTATATGTTGAATAAATCATATTTATGTAAATAAATATGGGAAAAATTAGCTTGAACGTTATTCGTTTTTTTTTTAAATTAATTAAAATAAAACGTATTACAAAACTAGGAACAATTATTCAAGAACTTCTGGGGAAAAGTTATCTTACAAAAAATCTCAATCGAATAAAATAGAATACATGTAAATGTAAATATGAAGAAAACCAAATTGGATCAAAATAGGATTACACAATGTATGAAGCAAAGTCATTTATTTATTAATTGATTAGTAAATTCTTTATTGTTTAACAAACTAATTCGGCGATGTTTCAGTCTTACACTTGTTATTGATTACAAAAAAAAAATCTAAACACAAAAATTATTGAAATGAAAATCTAATGAATGAAATAAAAAGTCCTTAAGGCAAGAGTAAAATAAGAACTTTGAACTCGTAAGAAATAATTCTTATCTCGTTAGTTAATGACACTTATCATCAAGTAATAACAACTTGCAAGGAATATTCACTCTATCATAACACCTGATTCAATCTCTGATGTTTAAGAGATGCTTTGCTCCCGATTTATACTTTTGACTTTTGAGCTTGAATACTGTTTGTTTGTACATATATTTCATATTATCCTACTTTATCTCACTGGAGCTTTGTCAATGATATTTTTTTCATTATGTAGTTTTATGAAAACTAAGTATAAGTATACTTATTTTTCTTATTTTAAAAATATTCAATAAAGGTACCTTTGTATTTGATCAGCACTAGAGGTTCCGTGCACTTTGAGCTCACTAACTGATACCCCGCCTCCTATATGTATATAATGACAGTGTCCATGTTTTGCTATGGAAAACTCAAAATATGTGTCAGATCAAAAAGTAAAACAGGAGGCGCACAATGGCTATATGGAATAAAGATTCTGTGAAAGTTTCATTAAATATCATTCAGTGGTATGAGAGGAGTTGCGGATAAGATATGGGTACCCCAAAGCGTAACAGACAGACTGACGGACACAGCTAGACGGATTGACGGACATACCGATTACTTTATACCCTCCGGCTTTTCAAGCTGGGGGTATAACAAGAGGAACTGTGAGCAATAAGCTCACTAAATGGTACCCCGCCTGTCATACCATTATATTGGCAAAGTCCATGTTTATACCCCCCCCCCCCGCTTGAAAAGTAGGTGGGTATATACCCTCCGGCTTTTCAAGCTGGGGGTATAACAAGAGGAACTGTGAGCAATAAGCTCACTAAATGGTTCCCCGCCTGTCATGCCATTATATTGGCAAAGTCCATGTTTATACCCCCTCCCGCTTGAAAAGTAGGAGGGTATATAGTAATCGGTATGACCGTCCGTCCGTCCGTCTGTTACGCTTTGTTACCAATCTCTCATTCGCAACTCCTCTCATTCCACTGAAGGAAATTTAATGAAACTTTCACAGAATCTTTATTACATATTGCCATTGTGACCTCCTATTTTAGTTTTTTATTCGACATGTATTTTAGGTTTTCCATAGCAAAACATGGACATTGCCATTATATTCGTACCTATGACGTCATATATCGAAGCTACTGGATTTGATAGGACGAGTTATTCCTCTTTACACATTACTGTAAAACAATATATAGCAAAACATGGACATTATGGGAGGCAGGGGGTATCATTTAGTGAGCTCATTGCTCACAGTACCTCTAGTTTCTTCTTGGAGACACGGAATAAGTGTCAGATCAAAAAATAAAATAGTAGGTTATAGGACGAGTTGCAAATAAAAGATGGTTACCCTCTAATATTATAGAAAGAACGGCAGTGTCCATATTTTGCTATGGGGAAACATCGAAATCGTATGTGTTCGATCAAAAAGGTTTGACAAAAACATTGAGATGTGTAATAAAGATTCTGTGAAAGTATTTTTAAAATCAGTTCAGTAGTATAAAAGGAGTTGCGGATAAGAGATGGGTACCCCGAAGCGTAACAGACGGACGGAGGTTCAGCTAGACAAACGGACGGACGGACTCTCCGATCACTGTAGACCTCAAGTGGATAATATTACGTTGGAAAACAATTCAGCAACGAGCAACATAAAACGATATTTTACATGCAGCAAAAATTGGAACTTACAATTCACTTTAGATTAAAAAAAAAGACAAGTATTTCTACATGACATTCAATATAACTGTAAGAAGAATTGTAACATGTAAAAC